AAGCTTGGCCGTAGTACCTTGTCTGTCATTTTTAATGAAACATGCGCAAACGAAGGATTGCTTCCCAAATATACAACTATATTTATACATACATATATATATATATATATGTATGCATATATATATATATATATATATATATGCACACACACACATATATATATATATATATATATATATATATATATATATATATATGAATAAACCGTATGTAACAGCAAAATTATCCAAATGGTGTAACAGAATGAGATAATTGACCGTCCCACAAAAAAAAAAAAAAGAAAAACACTAAAATAATTGAGTTTCTTTATCCAGGTTTACAGATATGACCTTTAGCCATCTTGACACCATTTGTCATAAGAATCCCTGAAGAAACCTTTGAGTTATTCAGCTAAATAGAGAACAGGTTAAAATCGCTTTGTATCTGCCTCACTATATATTCTCAGCTGAGCAATGGTGAGAAGCAAAAGATCATTCAGATCTTCAGTAATGGTACCAAAATCCTTACTCTAGTTTCCATCTAATTCCATTTAAGAACCATCAAAACAATGGTGAATATGTTTTAAAAAGAGGGAACAGTAAAAAGGAAAAGTGGATGAGGAGGTGACAACAGCAAGAGGGATCATCAGCTCAACTTAGAGCTGAATATATTCTTATTGTTCAAAGTAGAGTTCTATAAAAACCTCAGAAAATCCTAGTGAGATATTCTTAATCATTTCTAAGATACAACGGTTCAAATCTTAATCTAAAAATTGGACAATTTTACTGTCACACCTAATATATATGGCGCAGCAGGAATACTTCCCACGTATACCTCCTAGAAATACCTTCCACGTATTGGTAAGACATTATGTAAATCAAGATACCATTGTCACTAATGTCTTGCCATTATGTGTGAGGAATTTCTGGGGATATTTCTGATACACCCTATATCTATCTATCTATCTATCTATCTATCTATATATATATATATATATATATATATATATATATATATAAATATAATTATCATCATCCCCTTCGAATTTTGTAATCCTAGGTGGAATCCGAATGCAGAAGCCACACTGTATCTCCTACACAAATGTCTATCAATGGCAGCCATCAGCGATTCTGGTACAGTCATACCTGCCCATTTTTTGACATTGTCCAACCATTTTTTTTTTTACGTTGGCGTCCTCTCCTACGTCCATATTTAATGGTGCCTTGCATAATGGTCTTGCACAGGCTGTCGTGCCTTGTAATGTGTCTAAACCACGCCATTTTTCTCCGCTTGACAGAGGCGAAAAGATGTTCCTGGTGACCCACAAATCTTTCAATCCTTTTCCGCACAAACTCCTTGTTTTTTTTTGTGGGGGGGTTCCCAATAGAAAATGCCATGGAGTTTTGTCATGCATTTGTTCTCAAACGTTAGCATCCTTCTCTATCTGCCAACAACGTCCACGTTTCACATACATATAGGAGAATGAAGACTACCAGCGATTTGTACAGTCTGTACTTTTAAAGCAGATTCTGCTCCTCCATATTCTTGCCAATTTAGCCATCGTTGCCATGACTGCAGCATACCGTGTGCGGAATACTAAGTTGCAGGTACAATGTTTAGACAAGATTGCCCCCAAGTATTTAAAACTGGACACTTCCCCTAGTGAATTCCCGTTCATAGTAATTTTGACACAGGTGTTATTGATTGTGCTATTCGTCATTACTTATATATATATATATATATATATATATATATATATATATATATATATATATATACATACACGTCGATGCAACCTCACACGGAGGAGAGGAGACATATGTACTTGCATCAAGTAAACATCTCTTTAGTGTGTTGAATTCATAAATGACGCAACGGGTCACATGAGTTTTTTTCTTATTTTTTCAAAGACATTTTCCCTATTTATACTTCGGTATTAAATAACCCATAGAGTAGTTGATATGCCACTAAACCACATCAACCAATCAACAAACATGAAAGAACTTTTTCAGGGCATTAGTCCATATAATATCTTATAATTTCTTAAAGAAATCAAACTGTATTTCAAAATATAATTGTAACAAAACAACAAAATAAAACACATATCACCGCCTCTAGTAATTATGTTCACACAACCATATACATGCTCGAAAGCTGAGTATCATCTACCATATGTTCAATTGCGAAAGCAGAATAACATATATTTTTATTTGTTGAAAGCTTCCAATAAAATTAAATTTTCGCATTAAATGACCCATAAATGAGTTGATATGTCATTAAAAAAGCAAATCAATCAATATAAAGAAGTAATTTATTTTTAATTCCAATTTTTTTATTAATTCAAAAGTCAAGTCGGTTGAGGGCTTAGTCTCAGTAGATCACAGTGTTTTGGTGTTCGACAACAGCTTGAGGACAAACAGCAACGACTAGCTACGCCGACCCACGATAACCGTTGCCACTCCTAGCGACGACGAGGCCGGCTATGGAAGGCGGAACGAAAAGGGATGCCTTTCGTAATACTGTGAACCTCAGCGGTTCCGGCTCAGAGGCTTTCAGCCGTTATCGCGATAAGGCAGCCAGCCACCGCCGTTCGAGGAATTGTTATTCCGCCAAAAATAACACCACTCCCTGGATTAATTATGCCAAAGAAGTCGTGAAACATTAATTATTAAACTCCTGCTGAACCTATCTAACCGGTTGGCGCATAGTGTTCATTTTTTTTTTTTTAAAGAGGTGGTGGGGGCGGGGCTACATAAAATTTTAAATCCGCCAGCTTTAAGATTATTATTAGCCAGTCTCGTAGATTTTATGAAAAAATGCTAATATTTTAAGAAAATTTCATGCTGTAAAAGGTTAATTTCACTATTATTATTGTTTTTATTTCCTTTCATTTCTTTCCGGGTCCCACCCAGAGACGTAAGATTAGAAATAGCATCATGGCCCTGAAAAAAAATACACACATATTTTACATAGATAAAGCCCTCCGTAAAGTGTAGGCTGTACGTGTGAGAACATTTTTTGTGTCGCTTTGAAGCATGGACTTCCAGGAATCCCTTCAATCAGTCTACTGGTATCTTTTCCAACTAATCCTAGGGCTCCAACTACAACAGGCATTGTTGATGTTCCTATGTGCCACATTTTTGAGATTTCTATTTCAAGGTCCTTGTATTTTGACAGCTTTTTGGAATATCTTCAAAGATACGTTGCAATCTGCAGGAACTGCCATATCAATAAGGAGGCACTTTTTTTGTTCGTGGTCTTTAATAACAATACTTGGGCGGTTGGTTTTGATTGTTCTGTCAGTGTGTATTGTGTAGTCCCATAGAATTGTAACAGGTCCTATCTCCGTAACCGGGTCTGGGTGGTGTTCATACCAGTTTCTTTCAGTTTTCTTCACGTAGAAGTTGCATATTTTCCAGTGCAGATATTGGCCCACTCTGTAATGTCGGCTTTTATATTCAGTGGGTGCCAATATCGTGCAACCTGATACAAGATGATCAATTGTTTCTGGATATTTATGACAGAATCTGCATTTTGGGCTGACACAATATTTTAGTATATGTGCTTGATAATTTCTAGTTAACAAGCACTGATCCTGTGCAGCAAAGATAAAACTTTCAGTTTCAGCTTTCAACCCTGCACTACGTAGCCACTGATGGGTACGGGTTTTGTCTACGTCAGCCTGTTTGGTACGGGCAGAGTATTGGCCATGAAGCGGTTTATCTTGCCATTGTTTCTGTATCTGGTCAGTTGCATTCGTCTTTGCTTTCTTTTTTAAGTATTTTGCAGCTTCACTCGGTGTATTGTGCTTTACTTTTATTTCTGCGCCCATTTGAAATTCCATTTTGAACTTATTATTATTATTAGTAGTAGTAGTAGTAATAGTAGTAGTAGTAATTGATGCTGTTGTTGTTGTATTTCCTTTGCTTTCTAAGGTCAGAAATGGCATCACGGCATTTCCACAGATCAGTTAATAAATATTGCACATATTTTGCGTAGATAAAGCCTTTCGTAACTTTTTTGGATTTCTTATGGGCTAATAGGGATTCCTTCAATGAATCTTTTCGGAATCTTTTCCAGTCACTCCAAGGGCTCCAAGGACACCTGTAATTGTTAAGATGTACATGCGCCACATTTTTGAGATTTCCATTTGAAGGTCCTCGGATTTTCATAGTTTTTTGAATATCTTCAAAGATACATTGCAGTCTGCAGGGACTGCCATATCAATAAGGAGGCCTGACGATTGCATATAGCATGAAACAGACTGTCGCCTCTAAGTGTTGACTTCTATGTTCACTCTTATATTTACACACGCTCTATCTCTGATATTGAGCACTTTATCCCATAAATATAGCACATCTTAAGACTATATTTCTTCATATATATATATATATATATATATATATATATATATGAATGAATGAAATGGAAATTATTTTTATAGATACAAGTATTTAAATAAATGCTCTGTTTATAATAAACAGTATTAACAACACTTAGCGGTCTGATTGTCTGAGAAATCTCAAAAAAATATTTGCCCTCTGACAGGAATCGAACCTATATCCTACATGGAACGACATATAGCCTGGCGTGCTGTACTATTTAGATACAGAGGAAGCGCCTGATTATTTTCTGATTCGTGATTAGAGAATGCAATGACAAACTGTGCCTCCTTATTGATATGGCAGTCCCTGCAGACTGCAATGTATCTTTGAAGATATTCCAAAAAGCTGTCAAAATACAAGGACCGTGAAATAGAAATCTCAAAAATGTGGCACATAGGAACATCAACAATGCCTGTTGTAGTTGGAGCCCTAGGATTGGTTGGAAAAGATACCAGTAGACTGATTGAAGGGATTCCTGGAAGTCCATGCTTCAAAGCGACACAAAAAAATGTTCTCACAAGTACAGCCTACACTTTACGGAGGGCTTTATCTATGTAAAATATGTGTGTATTATTTTTCAGTTCCATGATGCTATTTCTAATCTTAGGTATCTGGGTGGGACCCGGAAAGAAATGAAAGGAAATAAAAACAATAATAATAGTGAAATTAACTTTTTACAGCATGAAATTTTGTGTTGACTTCTATGTTCACTTTTATACATACATACATATATCCAAGTATAGAATTGGTGTAGACGGAATAATATTTCAATAGCTAAAAACACTATTCTTAAAAGAATGCTCAATACAGAGTAGAGCAAATATTATTTATTCAAAAATTATAACATAAACATGTTATAAAATCACTACAAAAATAGCCATTTTGTTTCAACACTTCTGGTATCTTAAAAACCCTTTAGTCTGCATCCAACGCCATCACTTGATAAGACACCAGTAGTGTTGAAACAAAATTCCTTTTTTGTAGCAATTTTATAACATCTTTATTTTATAATTTTTGAATAAATAAAATGATATACATACATACACACACACCCGCATATATATATATATATATATATATATATATATATGTGTTTTCCTATTTGTATCAAACCATTTATTTCATATATATGTTTGTATGTGCGTGTGTGTGTACGTGTGTGTGATTTTGCGCGCGCGTGTAATAAATTCACTTTGTTTACGTTTAGAAACGAAATCGGGCAGATATGAAAAATTTCGCAAGATCTATGACGACAGAAGCTTCCCTTAAACATTTAAGTCATAAAAAATACATGTATACAATACACACAAATTTATGTTTTTTTTTTAAATTTTATATTATTTAGAAATGTAATATATTGTTTAAATTTCGCTTTATTTATGGGGGTAAGTGATATCATCATGAATAGAGCGTTGCAAGACATAGAATCCATACTTCCTGGTAACTATCCGATTCCCACCTCACTATATATGGGCAAAAGTACTCCGAGCGATTGCGTAGATATTTGTATTTTTAGATATATGTACAGGGCGGTCCGAAAGTTTTGTCACACCTACATAATATAATTTTTCTATTTCAGATGGCTTACACGAGTTCCTACAGCTTAGAAGAGAGGGTTTCTTGATGTGTGACAGCGTCAATGAAAGTGAATAAACTGAATCTAGTACATGTGTTTTGTATTATTGTATTACGTGTTCTGTTATTGTTCTCATTACATTTTGGTGGGGATGACATGACTTTCGGACCACCCTGTACATCTCCGATTTTATTTTTTTACTTTGAATCAACCATTTTCGAAATATTTTATTGCGATTTATTTGCTTGGATTTTTTTTCTTTCTTTTTTTTTCTTTCTTTTTTTACTTTGGTTTCCGTTTTTCTAGTTTTTTATTTTCTTTTTTTTCTTCTTTTAGTTTGAATATTTTTGCTTAAATCTTTTTTTTTTTTCTTTTTTGTCGGATTATTTCCTTCTGTGATTCATTCTTTCATTTCTTTATTTATTATTTTAATTTCCATCTGTTTTTCTTTTTCCACTTTTCTTTTATTTCTCCTTTGATCATCTTTATTATTTCTGATTTCTTTCTTTTTCTTTCATTTCTCTTTCATTTTCTTTTTTAATTTCTTTCTTTTTTCTTTCTGTTTTTCTTTCTTTTCTTATTTTATTCCTTTGGCTTTCCTTATTACTACTTATTTTCCTTTTCTTTCATTTCTCTTTCGCTTTCTTTCTTTGATTCCATCTTTCTTTCTTTCTTTCTTCTTTAATTTCTTTCTTTTTTATTTCTTTCTTTTGTTTTTCCTTCTTTTCTTGCTTTCTTTCATATCTTTTTGTCTTTCTTTCTTACTTTTTCTTTTTCTTCTTTTCCTTTTCCTCAAATCAACATTTTCTTCTGCCTCTTCTTTTAATTGTTCTTACACCTCTTTTACTAACCCTTTCTTTGTCCTTTTCATCTCTTTTACAAACGGGGTGGTCTTTCAGTCATATTTAATATGGAGTACTGTAGATCTGATTTTCTTTTTTTTAATGTTCCTATCGCCCTGACGTTTGAGGCCTGCTTCAAAAAATTCAGAGCACGACGGAAACTCACAAATCAAACCGAAAATAACAAAATTGAAAGATATATAAAAATAAGGAAGGAAGAATTCCTACTGTTGAGTGCATTTTCTTTTTTTTATCCTTTTGCGACAGATGAGACCTGTCTACGTGAGAAAGGGAAAGAAACAGGCGAAAAGGCAATGACTAAAGTTTATTTTCAGATGTGACTCACTTGTGAGACAGAAAAAACTGAGGATCATCCCACACTATCACAACTGAGATACGTTGTCTCTTTCTAAGGGAATCAGAAAAATATGGCGTTCACCCATGATTAGATAAGATAACTGATGATAATTCTGATGTGTGGTTGAGTGTGTGTATGATCCCGAAACGAGCAAATATAATTTGTTAGTTTTGAGAATAAACGAAGTCCATGGCAGCTTTGGATTTCATGGTTAAGTAACACGTTTTTTTTTTTATTTCTCCTTTTAATTGACTTTAAATTATTTCTAGTACTAATCTATCTATCTATCTATCTATCTATCTATCTATCTATCTATCTATCTCGGTCTATTAATATCTATCTATCTATCTATCTATCTATCTATCTATCTATCTATCTATCTATCTATTTGTCTCAGTCTATTCATATGTATCTGTTTGTGTCTATTCATTTATATCTATCTGTCTCAGTCTGTTCATATCAATCTATCTATTCCAGTCTGTTCATATTTGTACATCTCTCTATCTATTCCAGTCTGTTCATATCTATCTATCTATCTATCTATCTATCTATCTATCTATCTATCTATCTACTCCAGTCTGTTCATATCAATATATCTATACTTATATATATATATATATATATATATATATATATAGCAGTCAGCTCTGGCAGTCGGACCAAACACTCTTGCTTTAACACACTTGTTTGTATATGTTAATATATTTGTTTAATATATATATATATATGTAAGTATCTATGTATAACAATGCATTCCTTATGTCTCTACCTACATATCTGACTATGGAAAAGGATGTTTCATGTACTTCGAAGGATGATTAAAGAGAATCAAGATGCTGCCGTTTGACATCAAAGAAAAACATCTGAAGAATGGTCCGCTCAATAATGGAGTGTGTAGTTATCGGACATGAACTATCTACTTTCTTGTAAAATTGTTTTAATTGAATGTTTTTACACATTTTTACCGACAATGGCACTGACTGCTTGCTTGTACAATAAATGCCATGTTGAATATGTTTTTATATATTCCTATATATGTAGGACCATTATTTAAATATAGACAGAAGTATAGACAACCATTATTAAAGTATACATCCAAGTATAAGAATGTCTATATTTTCTTATAGTTTCGGTATATTCACAACCTGAATTGTAACATATACATTTCAAGATATATTCCCTAATGACAACTGCATTGTTCCTTTCCCTGTATGGTGGCGGGGCTGAAAATTACATAGGCTGAATATGAAGGAGTCATGCTAGAGGTGTGAAATCTTGCATGCATTAATTTCAATTCTTTTTATTATTAACTGCATTGTTTCTTTCCAGGTATGAGGGTGGGCTGAAAAGTTCATAGGCTGACTATGAAAGAATTGATACTAGAGCAGTGTAATATTGAATTTATTAATTTCAACTCTTCTTATTAATAAGTGCATTATTTCTTTATATATATATATATATATATATATATATATATATATATATATATATATATATATATATATATATCGTTGCATGGACAAATAGTAGGAGCGTTCGTTCGATTTTTCGACTATAAGACCTTTTTTTCGACTATATATAACGTTTGATTCCATTTTACATTTCTACCAATTTTCGGTCAGCTCCCGTTTTTGAAACGCTTGTTTTACAAAAAAAATCCATAGCTACAATGGATACATTACAGAGTGTCTTAACGCGGATTTTTAAAAATCATCATCCGGTGCGAATGCCAAGCAGTACAGCATGCTGTTTCCAAATTTATGGCAGAGTGGATTGCGTCATGGTACTCTTATTCTCACAGATGCCGCCCAACTGACCCTATTATAGTGTGCAGTTGACAAAATCAGAAACAAACAAATACACATGCGCAAAAGTAAAAATACTAAATGGCGACAATTTATCCATAGCGCACTCTCTCTCTCTTTCCTCCATATATATATATATATATATATATATATATATACACACACACACACATTATGAAATGGACAAAGTCCGACAATTATTTTAAGACATTTTTATGTTTAACATTCTTTTATAGATACAAATATTTAAGTAAATGCTCTGTTTATAAAAAACAGTATTAAACAAAATTTACCGCCCTGAATGTTCGAGAAATTTTCACAGAAAATATTCGTCCTCCGACAGGATTCGAACCTGTATCCTATACGCTTAAATACAGCAAATTCGACCTTGCTAACTGAACTCTCCTTAAATATTTATATCTATAAAAAGATTGTTAAACATAAACATGTCTTAAAATATATATATATATATGGATGCATGGATAATTAGTAGGAGCGTTTGATCGATTTTCGACTATAGGACCCCTGTTCAAATCCTTACTTGGTCGTTTGCTGGGGAAGTGAATTCTTATTTTTATCGGTCTCAGGTACTGAATCAGTTATGCGGTTCTGATTGAAAGAGTTGCTAATATATACCACGGGTTGGTCCCAGCCTTGTGAGTGAAAATGAGTGGACAGAACTGCTTGTGGTGGTTGGGCTAGCTCGTAGTAACGAGTCATCGTGACAGATGGTGTGAGCGTACTGGTAATCACACAAAATAATGTTCTCTCTGTTCCAGATGTTATAACCTTGACTCGCCTAAATGCAGTACAAACCATCGGTTGACTCTTTGCTTTACATCTGCAGGAAAGCTGCCTAGCCACCTGTTGTGTCGGAAACCTAGCACCCCTCTTGAAGATGAACTTGTCTGCGAACAAAGACTTTAAATAGTGGCATGTCAGTTGACATGGGAGAAGACAGATAGACAGAGAGGGTAAGACCTCCGAGTCTAGCTGAGTCGTGATACAGTCTTTGACTGTAAGCGACGTCTGTCGAACTCTCTGCATTAGCAGAGAGGAACCCGGACGAAGCTTTGCCGAAGGGCAAGGGTTCGTCCGGGTAGGTAAACAGGGCCTGAATCCGTCAAGGCGGTTTCAAAAAGGCTATATTTTTGGCCGAGCCTACGGGCTCGGAGATACCCATATTAAACCGGCCTTGTGCCATATTCAATCCTCGTGGGTGGATCGATAAATACTAAGACAGATAGAGAAGTTCTTAGCTGAGCTAGTTATTGACTACTCAGGCGATTTCTGTACCTTTTTACCAACCTATTAAAACCCTTTTTATTGTTACGTGTTATTTGGCGTTTGTCTCTACTAACCCCAAATCAACATCATAACACCACCCCACCCATTGCCCATCGTATTCGGAAACGCGCTGCCATAATATATATATATATATATATATATATAAACAAAAACAAAAACCGTTAGTGGAACTTGTCAATATCTAAAACTTTTATCTAAATACAGTCTCGAATGGAAATCTACAATACTGAAAAATAGACAGAAAAAATGTATAAAGGTAAAATTACCTACTCAACAAAGTAAAGTGCTTGAAGCCTCGATTGTCTAGATTAACCAAAAAATGCTTAAGAAGATTCAATCCTATGAAAGAATGTGGCTCTATTCGTACCCGAGTTTCACACTCATGCGATCTTCAAACGACTTGAACGGCCCTACATCCATATATATATATATATATATATATATATATATATATATATATATATATATAATCACAATTGATTATTAGTAGTGATAATTCCAAAGTGGAAATTAATCCAGAGAGAGCTCAATGAACAGAGAAATAATAATAATAATAATCATAATAATAATAATAATTACAGCCAATCCTTAAAAATCCATTCGGTTATAAACTTATTTCATGAATACATAAAAACATATCTCTTCAGACCGATATCTCTTTAATAAATGGAGTCAAATTATCCAGACGAAAGGAAAAGTGTTGAAGCTTGGATAAGCATGGAATGATAATAATACAACACAAAATTTACGTAAACAAAATGTATTGAAACAAGGAAAAGGTACACAATATTTACAGTTAGTTTTGGTATATTCTTGGGAAGACTGTTCCTGTAGAATGGGTTGACTAAATCGCAGTCGGGCAGTCTCTGGATTGGATCTCTTCTTACTTCTTCCCTCGTCTTCCCGGTACCAACCATATTTATATGGTCGGTACTCCACTATGTAAATTAGGTGGATCGTACCACAACAAAAAGGGAGATGAAATGTTTTGATATTACAAAGAGGAAGAAAGAAAATAAAAATTTCGATATAAGGTTTTTAAAAAATTGGTGAGGGTAAGAGAAATAGAGTGAGAAAGAAAGGAGGAAGAGAGTGGGAATGGAAGAGTGAAAGAGGTAAGGAAAGAAAAGAAAGAAAGAATTAGACATGAGCCGATTGGGTGACCTAGAAATGATTTTTTTAAGGACTGGACAAGTTTTTAAAAAAAAAGCGGTCAGATTCAAAGTAAATAGATTCTATTGTCATATCATTTTCGACAATGAAACCATAATTTCCATCGCATTACAACCATCAGAATTTCAAAATAATAATATCTCAGAGATGAGGAATTATGATCGCTTACATTATTTACCTTATTCGGACTGTTATCCTCATCTTCATTGCAATATTCAAAACGTTTCGGTCGTTGTACGCTCCGACCTTCCTCAGGCGATGTCCCAGTAGATAAAGGCGTTGGTTAGATCCAGTGACTAGACCAAAAGAGTTGTGAGTTCAATACCAGGCGACAGCAGTGGTGAACCAAAAACTTGGAGAGTTGAGTTAAAGGAAAATAACTGAGACATCCGGGGGAGGTATAGCACGTGGAACTAGAACAATCTACCGCGGTGGACGAAATAAAGGTTTCGGTTCGAAATTCCAATCACCCGCAGAAGCCCGGAGCGTATAACGGTCGAAACGTTGTGAATGTGGCAATGAAGATGAGGATAACAGTCCGAATAATATAAATAATGTATGCAATAATATTGATATTTGACATCGTCTGGAAAATTTGACTATTTATTAAAGAGATGTCAATCTGAAGAGATGGATATCTTTTTATGTCTATATGAAATAAATTTAGAACCGAATGGATTTTTAAGGATCATCTGTACTTAATATATATATATATATATATATATATATATATATATATATATATTATGATGTTTTTTTGCATTTCCTTAGTGAGATCTTGAGTATTTCCCTGTGCGTGTATTGAAATAAGGACAAAGACATACGTGGGGAAAAATACTGGTATATCCGAAGAGGTATTTACAACAGAGAGATTAGTAGTCAAACGAACGCAGGTTAGTCAGCAACAATCAGAAAGAGTATAAAGTCCAACTGTATCTTCCGGTAGAGATACGGAAGTGTGATGGTCACCTGATCTTCCCAGAATTCTATAGAACTGTCCTATTAGTAGTAGAGAGATCAGTCCATTCTGATGAGAAGGTGGGTGGCCCCAACACTTAGCATCATCAGCATTTTTGTAAAAGAGCATAGGCAGAATTGGGTTTAAATTTTTTAATTCTGTTTGTCTCAAGGTTCTTGATAAAATCCAGAGACGGATATGCAATGTAATTGGCCCTGATCTGGCATCTCGTCTGCAGTCGCTCTCTCACATACATGCCGTCGCCTCCCTCTGTCTTTTTTACAAATACTTTCATGGTAACTGCTCCGATGAGCTGCTTTCGCTGGTTCCCAAACTTCATGAATTTAAGCGTTCAACTAGGCTGGCATCTCGCTCTCACCCGTTCACTATCGAAAAGGTTAAATGTAGCCATCTCTTCTACTTCAATAGCTTCATGTTTCGCTCTACTCGCCTGTGGGACTCTCTCCCTTCTTCCTGTTTTCCTGATAGCTATAATCTCCAACTATTCAACTATAATGTCAATCGACGTCTCCAGATGCTTTGATCTATGCCCTATCCTTCTCTTCATCCTTTCCTCTATCACTCCTATTTGCTTTCGCTTCAACTCTCTGTAACTCCTTTCGTGCTAGTGGCTTCCCGCCTTGCTTGGAGTTGAATGCTGAAAAAAAATAAAAATTACGCTTTTTTTCATATTTTATGGCGTTTGTGTTTATTCAAGTAACAATTTATAAATGTTTGTTTTTGTTGGCTTGTGAAGCGTCAATATTTATATTTAATTCTAGAAATGTTAACCTAATTCAAGTTTATTTTAAAAACTGATTCTTAGTTTATTTTAATCGCATGATAAATATCACCAATGTTACAAAATGTCGTTTTTTTTTTCATCTGCAAATATCCAGACGAAAGGAAAACGGAGATGAAACGTGATAAAGAAAAGGAAAAAAGTTTTAATATTATAAAGTGTGTCTGCATGATTAAATAAGGAACAAGTAAAGAAATCTTCATAAATTTAACATATTTCGCTATCTCGCTTCAAAAAAGTTTTGTCTGTTGACTAACGTGGATTTATGCTTCAAACTTTAAATTCTGTTGTATTTTCATTGGTTGCGTTGACATTGCATGTATTACTATGGCGTTAATGTTTCTGTATATATCAGTTTTGTTTGTATGAATCTCACATATATATCTCTTAGCGTTTCTCTTTGTGTTTTCTTTTATTATATAGCTAAAGTAATTTACGCACGTAAAAAAATCGGGTTAATTAATGGATTTAAAACACAGTCTTCATATCAGTGTAAATAAATTATACTTAGACAACAACTAAAAAATATTATTAAAAATATTATGCTCGACAATGTATTGAGCACTTTTTAAAAAAAAGTAAATGTTAAAGAACTCTGTGTGTGTGTGTGTGTGTGTGTGTGAAGAAAGATAGTCTTAAGGTGTGCTATATTTATGGGATAAAGTGCTCAATAGCAGAGATAGAGCGTATGTAAATATAAAAGTGAACATTGAAGTCAACACTTAGAGGCGACAGTCTGTTTCATGCTGGACGCAATCGTCAGACCACAAGTGTTGTTTTTTTTTGAAAAAACAACACTTGTGGTCTGACATTCTTCAAAAGTATGAAACAGACTGTCGCCTAAATGTTGATTCATATATATATATATATATATATATATATATATATATATATATATATAGTGTGTGTGTGTGTGTGTGTGTGTGTGTGGAAGTGGTAAATATCAGGGATAGAGTGTATATTAATTCAAACTTGAAACAGACTATCGCTCCTCGTTGTTGTACCCAGGGTGCATGCACACACACACACACACACACACACACAAAAAAAAAAATAAACAGTCCTTGAAAATAAATGTAGTAAGATTCTAAAAGTATTCGGGGAAAATGCTATAAAAAATAAATATAAACTGGAAAATTTGACTCCATTTATTAAAAAGATGTCAATCTTAAGAGATGGATATCTTTTTATGTATTCATGAAATAAATTTATAACCGAACAGATTTTTAAGGATCATCTGTACTTATTATATATATATATTATGATGATGATGATTTTTCACACTTTCCTTAGCATCATCAGCATAACAATATGGAGCGTAATATTTTTTGATAATATTTTTATTTAAAAATATTTTACATTGCGACACAGAAATTTCCATGTTTCGGTCTTATCCCTTCATCAGGCAGTGTTCGTTAAAACTACAGCGTACGCTTTTAAAACAGAAAAATCGTCTCCGAAAAGGGTAAAAGTTAAATAGTAGTTCTATTATTCAAATATTTATGAAATTTTTTCCAGTTTCCGAATTAGTTGTTTTATGTTATCGGTAAATTTGCCAAAGTATTTATTTTTTATAGCATTTTTCCCGAGTACTTTTAGAATCTTGTTACATTTGTTTTTAAGGACTTTTTTTTTTTCCTCTCTCTCTCTCTCTCTCTCTCTCTCTCTCTCTCTCTCTCTCTCTCTGTGTGCAGAAATTTTTGGCTAATTCTGGGAATTGGAAGTTTGCTGGAACCAATTTTGAATCACTCAAAGGTGACGGCATTTAAATGGTCAAAATGGACTTTTTATATGATTTTCTCTTTTAAAACACCTCTGCTTATCATTCCTATGTAAAAAAGATGCCTTATTTAATGCTGGAAGCTTTGTATATATATATATATATATATATATATATATATATATATATATACAAATAAACACAAAGAACAAACAGATTTAGAATCCACAGATCTTTCGCATTTACTTTTGTAAAAAGTGCTCAATACATTGTCGAGCATAATGTTTTTTTAATAATATTTTTTTAGTTGTTTATTTAAGTATAATTTATTTTCACTTGTTATATGAAGACTGTGTTTTAAATAAATTAATTAACGCGATTTTTTACGTACGTAAATTACTTCAGCAATTCAAAAACAGAAAACAAAGAGAAACACTAAGAAATATATGTGTGAGATTCATGCAAACAATCTAAATAAAACTGATATATATATATAAACCTTAACGCCATAGTTATACACACAATGTCAACGCAACCAATGAAAATACAACAGAATTTAAAGTTTGAAACATAAATCCACGTTAGTCAACAGACAAAATTTTTTTTGAAGCTAAGTAAATAGAGAAATATGTTAAATTTATGAAGATTTCTTTACTTGTTCCTTATTTAATCATATACACAAACACGCGTATATATATATATATATATATATATATATATATGTGTGTGTGTGTGTGTATGTGTATGTGTGTGTGTGTGTGAATTTCTATGTTTTCTTATTAAAGAGTTAAAGACGGGGGATCAAATGTTTAAACTCAAGTCGTTAAACTCTTTCAGAAGCAAACGTATTGTTTTCTGTTTCCAAAAGTAAATCATTTTCATCAAAAGTTACCGAACATTGCCTGATGAAGGGATAAAAATAGGAAATTTCCGCGTCGGAATGTAAAATACTTTTAAATAAAACTATTAGTAAAAAACATTATGCTCGAAAATGCATTGAGCACTTTTTAAAAATGTAAATGCTAAAGAACTGTGGATTCTAAATCTGGTTGTTCTTTCTGTTTATTTGGTTATATATATATATATATATATATATATATATATATATATATATATATATATGAAAGAAGCTTCCAGTATTAAATAAGGCATCTTTTTACATAGAGAATGATATTGCGAGGTGTTTTAAAAGAGAAAATGCATATAAAAAGTCCATTTTGACGATTTAAATGCCATCTTGAGTGATTTAAAATTGGTTTCAGCAAACTTGAGAAGGCAAGAATTAGACAAAAATTTCTGCATGCACATAAAAAATCCTTTGTTAGGAATAGTCACAATATTTTGAAGCGACCGCGTACATCTGATGGAAATCTGTAGTACATATAGGATTTTATTTATGTCCAGTTAGTATTTACAATCGTAAATATTTACCTGAAAAAGAAATACACATTGATAATATTTTTACAAATTTTCAATATCCTTATTTCACCCAAAATACATAACGAAAAGCTTATAAAATCTGCAGCAAAAAAAAATAGTAACAATAACTACAATTGCGACTGCTGCTAAATCTTGAACCCCCAAGTGTCACCTTGCACCTCCAGCTCGCAGGTCGTCTGAACATCTTCCAGTGCCAAATTAATCTGCTGGAAGTCATGGTGGACGATTTCCTTCCCGAGGCTGTATGGTTTCCCGCAGGCTCGTCGTCAGTTTGTAGATGGCGCGTCGAACCGGTGCAGGACTCTGGTAGGATGGTCATCAGGTCGTCACAGGATTTGACCGAGCCAGCGAACACGCCAACGAACAATGGTACAGAGGATGTTCGGTTGGACGCTTCTCCGACAGGGATCGGACCAGTGCAACCGCTTATATGGTCCTCGGGACGCGGTACTCGAAGCCATAGACGTCGGATGATGATCTTGATGAGAGACCACGTCTTGGCGCCGTATACTTGTCTCCTAGTCGAACACGCAGAGTGCCTCCTCCAACCCGATTAGCGAGCAGCAGAATAGTGGCCAGCGTAGTCCAGGTGGGTTGTAAACAATAATAATTACAACAATAATAATACCAATGATAAATTAGGTAAAAATAGAAATATAATGCCTACTAACTCCTTAACATCAAAGCTTATATCAACATCAGGTTGAGACACCAGTTCCCGTACGATCACCGAATTTAAACAACGTCGACCTTGGTCAATATCTAAATGGGTGACCGCTTGGGAATACGAGGTGCTTTAAGATTGGGTGTGCAGGTGGTGTAATAGATAATGGCTTGGAATTATTAATCGGAATTTGAAAGGCGAGTTCTTATTCCAGTCGGGTTTGTTATATTCACTTACGTGCAAATAACCTTTAGAAAGTTCTGAATCCACCTCTTCTCCCCCAGCTATGGGTTAATTAGCAAGTCTTTTATCACTAAAGCATTATTATCTAAAATAAATAAAAAATAAAAAAAATAAAAATTGCGTACAAAATATTTAAATTTGGACGTTAAATAACCTATGATTGTTATGTCGCTAAACAAAAACAACACGTTAACATCAGCTATTTGAAATAATATATTCATATCTTAATATTAATCCTTCAAATCTAAAAATCAACCATCCGTCCTTGCATGGAATATTGCTGTCATATATGGTCTGGTGCTCCCATTGTATGTCTCGAGGTCCTTGACAAAATGTAGAGACGAATATGCAATGCGATAGGTCCTGATCTGGCATCTATTCTACAATCGCTATCCTACAGACGTGCCGTAGCCTCCCTCTGTCTCTTCATTTTCACGGCAACTGTTCCGACGAGCTACTTTCGCTGGTTACCGGACGGCATTAATTTAAGCGAGCTACCAGGCTGGCATCTCAGTCCCATCCTTCCACCGTCAAAACGGTTAAATGTAACCGTCTCTTCTTCTCAAACAGCTTCTTCTCCCGCACTTCCCGTCTGTGGAACTCCCTTCCTCTTACTTGCTTTCCTGATAACTATAGACTTCAAATATCCAAGTGTAATGTCAAAACCATGATCTTGTCTCCCGTCCTTCTCTGTATCCTTTCCTCAAACACGCCTCTTTACTCTTGTTCTTTGTAACCCCTTGCGTGTCAGTGGCGCTCCTGCTTTGCTTGGGGTGAATTGGTTAAAAAAATTATGCGCACATGCAAAACTATTATGGACTAGCAGCATGGCCCCGCGTGGCCCGTGCTTGATTCAAAATCGTACGACTCATACAGCAATCGCTATGACTTGACTTAAAATATTTTTGCCCCTCCTTGCCTTTAGAAGAGTGCTCTTTGCCGTGCTGATGTTGCTACATGCCTTACTTCTTGCCTATCTCACACTGCGAATTTTTTCTAAGCTCTATACTAAACATTAAATCTGTTACGAAAAATGAACTAAACAAAATGAACACAAAACGATCAGCTTTAAAAAAGGACTCGTAACTGGAAAAACCGAATGAAAAAAGAATGTTAACAACAAATACTTTTTCACACCCAACCCAGTTCTGCGGAATTAGAATCAACGTTGAGTTTAAACAAGCGAATGAGCCAATTGGAGTAAAGTGCCATGCAGATTTAAATTTTTCCCACTTGTGACGAATGCAGCTATCGATTTTTTTTGCATGCTAGCATGCTAGTTAACATTCATGTCAGTCAGCTGTTGGCTCTCACGCTGACCAATAGAATCTTCCTGCCTATTCGTGGCAGCCAGCTATAGGCTCTCACTCTGGCCAGTAGAAAATGGCGCAAACTACATGAAAACTGCCGTAGGGGCATGAAAAAATCGATTATTTCCTCCATCGATGGGAGTTGGGAAATGCAAAGTCGGTCTTGGCCTTCCCGCTAATGTGGAGCATGTGCATGTAAATTTTGGTGCAAATCCGTCGAAAATTGCGGCCGTGCATTCGTTACACACACACACACACACACACACACACACACACACACACACACACACACACACACACACATCCTGTCTTTTATAGATAGAGATATTCTTGTCATGGACATTTTTTTTTATTCTGCATATCTGAATACCCATAATAGTTTTGCATGCGCGCATAATTAAAATATATCAATGAAAATTGCAGATAAACGCATTTATGAACAAAAGAATTATCTCCTTAAATTATCCCCTGCTTTAGTTTGCACAATTATAATTTCTTCATTTAAAACGTTTTGTATTTATTAAAAGAGAAAATAACTCAGGTTAAAAGTTCTTGAAAGTGTAATTATCAAAAACATTAAATTTGCCAAAACATTAAATTAGTATCTGGATTTGTTTCTAATATATTATTCCTTAAATGAAAGGCTCATTTTTAAATCCCAAATATCTATGCAGGATTACATAAATATTAAATAAAAAGAAAACCCTTTCATCTGTGATCGTTGAAAATTAAAAATAAATTAATTAAATAAGTAAATAAATCAAACAAAATTCACAGAAGTCAATAAATAGATAAATAAATATTTACATACATAAAAATAAAAAAAACAGTAGCAAAAGTATTGACTTATGTTTAATACGCCGAAAATAATTACGTCACTTAGCGTCCTCCATAGATTACATTTAATTATATAGTAAGGTTTTAGTATATTTTAATGTATTCTCTCGTTGAATATTTGAATACTAAGGGATATTTTATCCATGTTACTTCTGTGTATAAATACAGGTTACCAAGTAAAATGACCACACGTCACATAGGTTCTAAAGGAACGAAACGCATTGGTATAAAAAAAAGTCTTGTATCTTTACTTTTATTTATATTGTCTTAATTTATACTTTGATTTATACCCTCTTATCACGCGCGCGCACACACACACACGCGCGCGCTAACTAACACCTTCATCCACTGTGCCTTGAGGACCCAAAGTGTGTGAGTTCAATACCTGGTTAAGGTGGTGGAGAACTTTCAGAAGGAAATTAACAGGGAATTAACTGATAACTGACACCCATTAAACATGGCACGCGGAACTAGAACAGCCTACGCCAGTGAGCGAAATAAAGGGTTCAGTTCGACATTCCAACCACCTGAAGAAGGCTGGAGCGTACAACGGCCGAAACGTTGTGATAAATATGACGACAAAGATGAGGACAATAGTCCGAATAATGTAAATAATGGACATAATACCTCATCTCAGAAATATAAACAGATACTGAAGGAAACATTTGAATTCAATATTTAGCTATTTTCATGTTTCTGTACATGGTAAATTTACATCGAAAGTTAGATAGATAGATAGATAGATAGATAGATAGATAGATAGATAGATAGATAGATAGATATGTGGGAGCAGACTAATAGATAGATAGATAGATAGATAGATAGATAGATAGATAGATAGATATGTGGAAACAGGCTATTAGATAGATAGATAGATAGTGTTGAAGCTTGAATAAGCATGGAATAATAATAATACAACACAAAATGTACGCAACAAAATGTATTGAAACAATGAAAAAAGGTACACAATATTTACAGGTAGTTTTGGTATATTCTTGGGAAGACTGTTCCTGCAGAATGGGTTGACTAAGTCGCAGTCGGGCAGAGTCTCTGGATTCGATCTCTTAATCTTCCGTCGTCTTCCGGTACCAACCCATATTTATATGGTCGGTACTCCACTTATGTAAATTAGGTGTATCATACACAACAGATAGATAGATAGATAGATAGATAGATAGATAGATAGATAGATAGATAGATAGATAGATATGTGGGAGCAGACTAATAGATAGATAGATAGATAGATAGATAGATAGATAGATAGATAGATATGTGAAACAGGCTATTAGATAGATAGATAGATAGATAGATAGATAGATAGATAGATAGATATGTGGAAACAGGCTAATAGATAGATATATGGAAACAGGCTAATAGATAGATAGATAGATATGTGGAAACAGGCTAATAGATAGATAGATAGATAGATACGCCAGTTTGAACTATATGTGAGATAGACTAGTAGATATATATATATATATATATATATATATAGATAGATAGATAGATAGATAGGATAGATAGATATGTGAATTCACTTATGAAAATATATATATATATATATATATATATATATATAGATAGATAGATAGATAGATAGATAGATAACATGGGACGGCAGGAGGTTTTCCAAAAAACACCTAGATTATTGTCCATTGTCCTGAAAAAAAAAATGTCATTTCGGCGAGGTATCCCGATAAAGATTGACAACACACAATCTTCCGATTGCATCTCTTGTCATTCTTGTTATTCGATTTATCTCTTTATTCAGACTTTATCGGGCGGATGTGAAGGGAAGCGAGCAATCAAAAGCCTCCTTTAGTTTTGTTAATGTCGCGAGCCATTTTCTTTTCCTTCATAAATAACCTATAAACAGCTCCTCTTTCCCGCCTTCTCTATTGTTCTTCCTCTCACTATTTTCTATTTGCCCTTTCCATGACTAATTGACCCCATTGTGCACATTCATATGTCTTCTTTTCCAATGAAATGTTCCCTTTCTGAACTCGGTCTTTCATGCAAAGATTTAATATATTTCTCTTATAGCTTTGAATGCATTTCAATTTTTCTTTCTAAATCACTACACACAAACACACCCACGCTTAAACACGCCAATATGTGTCTGTGTGCCTGTCTGTGACGGGGGTGGGGTGTTACAACTTTTTGCATAGATAAAAACTGTAAAGACAAACAGAAAAAACCGGAAAGCATTTCTTTTACCGACGCAGCGGTCCTCTCGTGGACTTTATCAAGTTAAATATACCTTCATAATTCCACGAGAGGATGAATTGCAATGGCACAGAAAAGTTTCACTTTTTCTTTATTCATATATATATATATATATATATATATATATATATATATATATATATATTAAGATGATGAGAACGAAAGTAATGTATAAATTCCAACGTTCACAGCATTAATCCAAAAGAGGGCTTGATACCGATGGTAGAGCGATAATTATTTATTTATTATAATTTTATCATATAGACAAAACCATTTTACTCACTACAAAGATGCAGCTTTGTTTCAGTGCATTTCAATTTTGCACTTTGACGGGTGAGAATCGAAAATGGTTATGAACATCTCAAAGTGCAGCTGAAATGCACTGAAACCAAGTGAGTAAAATATTTTTGTCTATATGATAAAATTATAATATATATATATATATATATATATATATATATATATATATATATATTCATAATGTTTTGACGTCATTTGTTTAAATTTGATACATCATGAGCAGATATGAATGTACGTGAGAGAATCATAGAAGATTGAAGTTTAAATACAGTAAATTCGACCTTGCTAACCGAAGGCACCTCTGTGGCCAAATCGGTAAATGCACGTCAAGCTACATAACGGTCCCGTGTAGGATGCCGATTCGAATCCTGTCGGAGGACGATCATTTTCTGTGAAAATTTCTCGGACATTCAGGCCGGTAATTGTTCGTTTAATACTGTTTATTATAAACAGAGCATTTACTTAAATATTAGTATCTATCAAAAGACTATATATATATATAGATAGATAAATAGGATTGGTGTATACGGAATAAATTCCAATAACCAACAAATACTATTCTTAAAAGAGTGCTCAATACAGAGTAGAGCAAATATTAATTATTCGAAAATTATAGCATAAATATGTTATAAAATCACTACAAAAATAGCCATTTTGTTTCAACACTTCTGCTGTCTTATCAAGGGATGGTGTTGAATGTAGAATAAAGGGTTTTAAATGGTTTCTTAAACCCCTTTATTCTACATTCGACACCATCACTTCTCTGTAGCTGAGTAGTTCAGCACGTCGGATTAATAGATATAATTTCGAATCCTGTCGAACATTCAGGCCGGTAAATTTAATGAATATTGTTTATTAAAAAAAAACAGAGCACTTACTTAAAAGAATTGTATCTATAAACAGAAAATATATTGAATAATTGTCAGGCGTAATTTATTTCATAATACATAAGCTCTATGTGTTCTGCTCTTTATTTGAAAATTCTAAAATCGGTGTATATTATTATATACCAACCAACCAAGTATATGCAAGCAAAAAGACCAATTCACTAAATTAGCCAAATTATATGGAAGGCGTGAGTAAAACACTGGAACAGTCATTTTTTTAATCAGTAAATATCTAAATAATAAATTGATTTAGTCATGTTCCGTAATTAAGTTTCCCCCCGTTTTCTGCTATTCAGTTCTTGTCAATAACATCTTCTGTCTTGTTGTCCCAATTCAAGCCAAGGATTCCTACTGAAGAAGTATTGGCCGACATAATTCTAAAGGAGAATTATAAAAAGAATGTCTAAAGTTGTTTTAAAGTAATATATATATATATATATATATATATATATATATATATATATATATATATATATATATATATAAAATGGACAAAACCAAGACAATTATTCTTAAGGAAAAAAAGAAAAGAAAAGAAAAAAAGAAAAAATGTCTTACAAATAATTGTCGGACTTTGTCCATTTCATAATGTGTGACGTCATTTGTTTACATTTGGATACGCATCGAGCAGATATGAATGTACGAGAGAAAATCATGGAGAATTGTGGTTTAAAAACAGTAAAATCGACCTTGCTAATCGAAATACTCCCTTGTGGGCCAATCGGTAAAATAACGTCTGGCTATATGACAATTCAATATAGGATACAGTTTCAATTCCTGCCGGAAGACGCATAATTTCTATGAAAATTTCTCGGACATTCAAGCCGGTTAATGTTGTTAATACTGTTTATTATAAACAGTGCATTTACTTAAATATTTGTATCTATAAAAAGAACATATAAACATAAAAATGTCTTTATATAGAGAGAGAGAGAAAGAGTAATAATACCATATGGTAATCCGTATGGAAGTTCCAGGAGGATATAGATCCAAGGAGAGATCTATGTGAAAAACACTGCAAAATTATTATTAATTAAAGACTATCAAACACTTAAAATCCCGCAGGTAATAATTTTTATTTCATGTGAACTCATAAAACCAGCTCTCAACCTTCAAGACCTACAAGCAACTACAAACAAGATTTTGTTTGTACGTCTTAAAGATTGAGAACTCTTTATATATAAAGCTATATATATATATATATATATTAGCAGTTTATTCAAAGGTAAACTGGGATTAATTGATAAATAAGTACGTCAGTGAACTGCCCATATTTTTGTTGTTTTGTCATTCACGATCATCTACCCATGTCTAGGCTTTTAATTTTGTCCTGTGTGAGAAAGTGAGGTGGCAAATCATAGCATAGCATGTCTCTTTGTGAAAGCAATTGACATAAATTGCCTCACACATCTCTCTTGTCCCAGAAAAAAAAAGACTTAGTTCACACAGCTACACGAATACTTTGTATAACTCTTATGTACGTTTGGGATCATCTGTTTCTTTTTCCTGTTCACACACACACACACACACACACACACACGAACAAAAGTTTGGTATTCGGGACCCAATGCCTTGCCGCCCGTGAGACACGAGTTCACAAATCTGATTAATGCACTTTTTCCGCTGTTGACTGAGCCATTCTTTGCTTTTTGTGTAAAATCAAAGAACACAGTATCTTTATTGACAGCCTTGCTCTATCTATCGGAGTTAAATAGAAAGAATAGGAATAGTGTCAGTTACACACACACACACACACACACACACACACATATATATATATATATATATATATAATTATTATTTAAAATATGATTCCAAATCGCTTTACATAAGAGGTCTCATGTTTCAAAACAAGAGCCGAAAACTTCAATATAATCCTTTAAATTAAATTGAGTTGAAAGTAAAATGGGCTCCGTTCCATCTTCAAGCGAAATTTTTGTTGGAATAACGTATATCTGAAATTTACTTGTTTTAAAATTGAAATCAAAATCCCCATGGTAACAGCTATGGTGAATTGTCTAAATTGGGTAGGCGAGTGTAGGGTGTTTATAATAAGTAGCAGGTATAGAGATACTTTCAAGGTGTCAAGTCGGGGAAAGGTGGGGGGTGTCAAAAATGAAACGGAAGATGTATTGGCCATCGTCTAGTTTGCTTGTCTATGGAGATGTATTTATTTATTTTATTTTATTTTATTATGAAAGGAATTGTGCATATAAAAAAAAAAAACTTTCGTAACGTTTGTTTTTTGACGACTTCATAAAGGGTTATCTTATATGTAAGGTATTTAAACTACTAATTTAGGCTATGGATTATGAAGTGTGTTATGTTGTATGCATGTTTGTAGTTAATTATTCCTACTATGAATCTGATGATTGGGCTATTTGTTAAACGATTTGGATTTTATATATATATATATATATATATATATATATATATATATATATATATTAAAAAAAGAAAGAACAGTAAGATATATAATCCGGTGTTCTTATTGATATTTTTATTTTCACAAACTGTGCTCAATGTAAATTTACAGAACATAAATATTATGAATTAACTGATTTAAAATATGGTTTCTTCGTTACATAGGAATTACCATGTTTCAAAACCCGAAGCTAAAAACTTCAAATTCAATTAGAAGCATTAGTTCTGTTTCATTTTGGAATCTAAAATTCGCTTGAAGATGAAACAGAACTAATGCTTTTAATTTAATTATATAATTCAATTTGAAGTTTTTAGCTTCGGTTTTTGAAACATGGTAATTCCCTTGTAGGGAAGAAACCATATGTTAAATCAGTTAATTCATAATATATATATATATATATATATATATATATATATATATATATATATATTTATATACGCTGTCGAAAAAAATATCATATATATATTTCCCTCTATAATTATCGACCGAATTTTGTTTTTCAGGGCGTATATATATATACGCCGTCGAAAAAAATCATAATATATATATATATATATATATATATATATATATATATATATATACCTCGAAAAAATATATATATATATATATATATATATATATATATATATATATATATATATATAAATTCCTGAAAAAATAAAATTCGGTCGAGCACTATAGAGGAAAGAGCGAATTTGTAAACAGTGGCTGCTACTGCTGCTAAGGCAAAGCTCTTCTATGAATCTAGCACTCCGAGTCACTATCGTGTTTATTCAAAAATAAAATTCACCCGCTCTCTACCGGGAGCTGATAGCTTAGGAGAACAATCTCCGGTTGATGCCAAATCAGTCAGGTTTCGATCCCAGCATGAGGCAATCGGATGTCTAGTTGCACTGATGAGCTGTGATACAGCGCAACAGTCTGTCTCTGGATGACAATATATATATATATATATATATATATATATATATATATATATATATATATATATATATAAAAAAAATCTCAGAATTAATCGTCTGAAAAGACATTATGTTTAAAGGAAAAAAAGACAATCGGAAAAAATGTATGTGGACGAAACGCTTGGCTAAAACTACAAAGAGTTTTGCTTTTGTCTTTCTTCTTCATATATATATATATATATATATATATATATATATATATATATATATATAACTATAAAATTGTCTGAGATTAAAATAAAACTGTTTTATGTGTTTTATGACATTTTAAATAAATACGATTCTGAGATGAAAACATCGCTCGGAAATTATTTTCTTTTAAATATTTATTTTCATTTATTTAACACATTATTTAATCCTGCAAATCACGATGTTAACTCGCGAATGGCAATTTTTTTTATTATGACACCGACTACGAGTTATCTCGTTCCGACTACGAGTTATCTCGTCCCGACTACGAGTTATCTCGTCATTGACATTTTCATACATATTATCTGTGGCAGCCAACTACGGGTTGATTCGCGGTGATGCTGTTAGCATAAAAATGTTAAGATGAAGCTAGAAAAATTGGTTATTGCCAAAGTTGGCTATCATAAATCTGGCGGTTGAACTTAGATTTCGGAATTGTCCTCTTGCACTCAATGTATTAAAAACAAGAAAGTTGAAGTAAAAAAAAGTCTACATTTTCCATTAAGTGTTTTCTACATTGTCTTATCTAATTACCCTATTATTATATGATATTATATGACATTATATTGGCACGAAATAAGTCAACTTATTAGTTCGTCTGGGAGGAAATATTATATCGCATATGAAAATTAAAACTTCTGTCCTGTTGGAGACGAGGACAAACGAAGAGTCTGTCATGTAATCTCTGGGAACTGTAAAATGACACTTGCTAGAGTTTGGGTGTGAAGTAGGAACAGATGTATGCCGTTTACCATTCCAAACCTCTGGCAAGAAATGACGGAAAATTTAATTAAACTCCCACTTCTGTATGGTTAAGGTGTCTACATAAAGAATATCAAAAGACAAACAGAAACTGGACGATCCTGAATCTCATCTTCACATGCAGCAATGCCACATGTCGAGAAAATGCTGCTTTCTGCCAGTTTAACTTTTGTATTCACAGCTGAATTCAACATCGCAAGAAGCTGTTGGTAGATAATTGTGAATGGACTGAGATAGATAGATAGATAGATAGATAGATAGATAGATAGATAGATAGATAAATAAGTATGAACATAGATATGTATAAACATAGATAGATAGATAGATAAGTACAAAGACAGATAGATAGATAGATAGATAGATAGATAGATAGATAGATAAGTATGAACATAGATATGTATAAAGATAGATAGATAGATAGATAGATAAGTACAAAGACATATAGATAGATAGATAGATAGATAGATAGATAAGTATGAACATAGATATGTATAAAGATAGATAGATAGATAGATAGATAGATAGATAGAAAGATAGATAAATACAAAAGACATATGAAGATAAGTAATAGATATGTAAAACATAGATAGATAGATAGATAGATAGATAGATAGATAGATAGATAGATAGATAAGTACAAAGACAGATAGATAGATAGATAAGTATGAACATAGATATGTATAAACATAGATAGATAGATAGATAGATAGATAAGTATGAGCAGAGATAGATAGATAGATAGATAGATAGATAGATAGATAGATATGAACAAACTAGGATAGATAGATAAGTACAAAGATAGATAGATAGATAGATAGATAGATAGATAGATAGATAAGTATGAACACAGATCAGTAAAAACAAAGATAAGAAGATAGATAAGTATGAACATAGATATATAAGAACATAGATAGATAGATAGATAGATAGATACGTACAAAGAAAGAAAGAAAGATAGGATGCCTTAAGCCCCCACCAAACGCTGACACAAATCAACTCTCATTAACAAGGAGTCTACGAAAGGAGAACTGACATTGAAAATAAATTTGAAACAATATTCCGAGACAAACATTAAGGAACTCATGATGGCCATATACCCCTTGAAATAAACTATATTTATTTTGAGGTAATTTTTTGTTGTTATATATATATATATATATATATATATATATATATATATCTGAGATGAGGTATTATGATTACATTATTTACATTATTCGGATAGTTATCCTCATCTTCACTGTCATATTCACAACGTTTCGGCCGTTGTACGCCCCGGTTTTCTTCCGGTGATTGGAATTACGAACCGAACCGTTTATTTTGTTCACTGGTGTAAATTGTTCTATTTCCATGTGCCATGTCTCGTCCGCATGTCTAAGTTATTTCCATTTAACTGAACTCTCCAAATCTGGTTCACCACTAATGTGGCCTGATATTGAACTCACAACAATTTGGGTCTAGTCATCGCATCTAACCAACGTCTTTATCCACTGCATAATGTGTCCTCAAAGAAGATGATGTTAACAGTCCGAATAATGTAAATAATGTACGCATATATATATATATATATATATATATATATATATATATATATATATATATATATATATATATATATATAAAATAGAAGTCAACACTTTGAGGCGACAGTCTGTTTCATGCTATATGCAATCGTCAAGCCACGTGTGCTGTTATTTTTCTCGGCTATTTATACATATACGGGTCAGTTGTGCATTGTGGGTAGTCTATTATGGCGGTTATTTTACCGGAAGTCACGCTCTATCTCTGATATTGAGCACTTATCCCATAAATATAGCACACCTTAAGACTATATTTCTTCATATATATATATATATATATATATATATATATATATATATATATATATATATATATATGTGTATTAGGCAAAAATCCTTCATTTATACATACATACGACAGAGAAGGTACTGCGATTAAGCGTTTTATTTAATTTTTCTTGTGTTCGTACAAGTGATTACTTTTCTGGGCATAGAGTGTGTAGAAACTGTCCAAATGTTGTTTAATTCCGGGCGCTTTCGGCTATGCTTTTAGCCATTATCAAGGATGACTTTATTTTTGCTTTTTAATTAGGTCTGTGGTTTCTTTGTATGTTTCTAATGTTATAAGGATTTTTTTTATTTTCCGAACACAGTAAACCATTGTCATTATAATCAAATCTGTGTACTCTAATAATTCTATCCCTCTGGCATCCATCAAAACATCTATATTCAAAAAATTACTACACGCATGCACCACCAAAATCCCATTCTATGACTATAATGGCAACATTTGCACCCAAACTAATGGTGTTAGTATGGGAAATGCACTCGACTCGTGCTTCTCCAATTATTACAGTTCCTAAGTTGAAAATATGATATTTAAACAGGTCTGTAAACCTAAAATATATGTCCGCTCCGTAGACGATTTTTTTTTATTTTAGCGAGTAACACAAAATAGATACGCTCAATAGCACATAGGAGAAAAACTCTGTCCAAAACTTTACCTACGAAGTCAGTTCCTAAAAAGAACACACCAGAATTCATCCTCTCGACTACTCTTCCTTAAAGAACTCAATAATGTAAAACAAACACTAGTTTTCACTGGCTTCCCTAACCATTTTATAGACAACCAAATTAGACTATTTTTCCCAAAGTAAATAACAGCGATAGTGAACATACAGTCAAAAATAACATAAAAATATTCTACAAAAACCAAATGCTCATTAATTACAAACAAGATGAATCCACACATAGAAATATTATAAAAATAATACACTACCCCAATTGACCCGACTAAAAAAATCAAATTAATTATCTACTTTAAAAAAGTTTTAAATAGCTAACCTTATCCTAAAAATAACAACACATCAGCAAAATCAAAATTACAACGAATGAACATTATTTATGAGTTCAAATGACCCTTAAGGAACTGTGTTCCTGATCAAATCGAATTCATAAATAATTACATCGGTCACACAACTACATACCTATCTAGACGCCTTACGTTACACCTATCTGACCACAGCTCTATTAGAATCCATTTAAACACACACACACAAACTTACCAGACTCCATCCGTAACATACTAGTAGAAAATAAAAACATAATAACCTCATCCACATGTAAAAAAGATGAAAAATAATGGAAGCCTTAATAATAAAAAAAGAAAAAGCGATTACTCAATAATATTAACTACGAACACGATCACAATGTACTGTGTTCGGAAAATTAAAAAAGTCCCTATAACTCTAAAAATATACACACATCCCATAAATCCCTATTTAAAAGCAAAAATAAGATCCTCCTTGATAATGACTAAAGGTATAGCCGAAATCGCTCGGAATTATAGAACTTTTGGACAATTTCTACACACACTGTGTCCAGAAAAGAAAACACCTGCTCGAATACAATAAAGATTAAATAAAAAGCTTAATCGCAGTAACGTTGGAATATCCGTCGTCTTTAATGAAACACACACATATATATACATATATATATATATATATATATATATATATATATATATATATATATATATATATATATATATATTATTTATTTAAAAATATGATTCAACTCGCGACATAAGAGGTCTCATGTTTCAAAATAAGAGCCGAAAACTTCAATATAATTATTTGAATTAAATTGAGTTACAGTAAGCTCTGTTCCATCTTCAAGTGAAATTTGTTTTTGGAATAACGTATATATCTATACTGAATTGAACTGATATATAGCTTATAATTCTCCGAGGTTAATACTAGTGACAATGATCAGGCACAACTTGAAAACGAACTGTTGTAAAATTTTAATATTCATATTTATAATCTATTGTTAAGATAGTGCCGTAGTTATTTTATTCATATCTATATCTATCTATCTATCTATCTATATATCTATATATATATATATATATATATATATATATATATATATATGCATATATATATATATATATATATATATATATATATATATATTTTGATAAACGTGCAATCAATTTACAAATTCATGAATTATTCACACAAAAACAAATGCAAAGGTTAATGATTTAATTGGCGAGAAATCCATCATCGCAAACAATTCAAATAATATACAAAAACCTCCGAACCTGTTATGAATGAAAAGATCCTTGTTTCTATAAATTTCTGCGGCATTAGTTCTTATTTTTACTACAAGCTTTCGTCTGTTCCTACAGACATCTTCAGGTACGGAATAGATGTTGTTCTTGTTTTTTCTCTCAGTAATAAGAGGACAACGAAAATATATGTATTGTTGTATCCGAAAATGCTATTGGAAATGAGTTATTGTTTTTGGAGCGTGCAGTAGCAACCTTTTCAGTTTGATTTTAAATTTTTACAGTTGTGCGTTCTTGTACAAATATGGTGATAAGCGAATTTTTTACTGGTAAATTTTTTGTCAAAGTGGCATGAACTATATTGTTCAATAATTACAGTAATGGAGGTTTTTGTATATTATTTGAATTGTTCGACATTACTGTAATTATTGAACAATATAGTTCATAAAATGACCAGCAGTACATTTTATAGTAGTTTTACCAACATTACATTTTATAGCAAAATGACCAATAATACATTTTTTTCTGTAGTTGAAGCCATAAAATTGTGTTCAAAATATTTAAATTCGGCCTTAAATAATCCATAAAAATTGATTTGCCGTTAAACAATCAACCAGCCAACCAACGCTCTTCACAAATCAACGAGTGCGAGATTTGAAAGGTGATCTAATGGTCGGAAAACTGACGTGAGATTCAAATACAGGAAGTCTAGAATAAGAAATAAATTTCAAAATATCGGAGTATTTTCATAAAATAACAATTCATTCATCGTTTAAATAAATTAAATGAGAAGGAATCTGTGGAGAATGATAACCGTCTACTTCGAGGGAACATGGCAATGAAGTGAACTGTTGTAGAGTTATTTTTTTTAAAAATATATAAATAAATTTCATGTTAATAAAATCATCGCTGGTTTATACTAAAGGTAACGGAGATACTTTATCGATTTATCGCTTAAAATAATGTCGCAATGCGTTTAATTTCTTTCTGAATCGTTACTTGTTTATAAAGCTCAACGTTTGATGATTTCCCTTCTGACTCTTAGGCTGAGCACTGGGGTTAGATTCGTTCAGCACTCCAAAATGCTGCAATATCACAACATTAACCTAAATGACACCAAACTCGTTCAGAATTTTCTAAATTATCAGCTGTTTACAACAAGTATCTGTCTATATTTCTGGGATGAAGTATTATGTACACTATTTACATTGTTCGGACTATTGTCCTCATCTTTGCTGCCATATTTATTACAACGTTTCGGCCCTTCAGTATCTGTCTATATTTCTGAGATGATGTATTATGTACACTATTTACGTTATTCGGACTATTGTCCTCATCTTTGTCGCCATATTTATTACAACGTTTCGGCCCTTCAGTATCTCTCTATATTTCTGAGATGAGGTATTATGTACACTATTTACATTATTCGGACTATTGTCCTCATCTTTGTCGCCATATTTATCACAACGTCTCGGCCTTTCAGTTTCTGTCTATATTTCTGAGATGAGGTATTATGTACACTATTTACATTATTCGGACTATTGTCCTCATCTTTGTCGCCATATTTATTACAACGTTTCGGCCTTTGTACGCTCCGGCCTTCTTCAGGTGATTGGAATGTTGAACTGAGCCCTTTGTTTCGCTCACACAAGGAAACATAGTACAGTGGATAAAGGTGTTAATTAGATCCAGTGACAGGACCCAAAGAGTGTGAGTTCAATACCCGGTTAAGGCAGTGGAGAACTTTCAGAAGGAAATTAACAGGGAATTAACTGATAACTGACACCCATTAAACATGGCACGCGGAACAAGAACAGCTTAAAATGGTTGAGAAAGACTTACTCTAAATCAATGTTTCTGAACCTTTTTTTAATTCAGGGTGCTCTTTGAAAGTAAATGTATTATTTATACATATGCTATTTGCCTTGAACATAAAATGCTAACATAGAGTAAAAATTTACTTTAATAGGTTTATATTAGATGTTCCTTCTAACGTTAGACTTCATTTATATGAAGAAGACAAATTGGCCACTATTTCTAGTGATCGACGGCTCAAAATAAAACATTCGACGGCACCCATTGATTGAGTAAGACTACGCTCAACAGAAGAAAGAAGAGTCTACAGATTGCTCATTTGGCCAAACATTGAAGATGCAAAAAGACCAGGCATAAGTTTCGTACTAAATAAGCTGCACAAATAGTTGATTAGCAACATTGAAATAAAGTTCATATTTGTGCATGTATTTTTTAAATCTATAGTTTTGTTTCATAACATTTAAATTGATACACTTTTAAAATTTTGCTAGGTGTGCTATAATATTTTTATTTGCCCTGAGGTGATCCTTCCTTAAAAAGGTTGAGAAACACTGGTCTAAAAGATAACGATGATGATGTTCCGCACTGCTTCAAACAAAATGTTAGAAAGAAAGCCTCTATCATTACTGCAAAGAAATATTCCTTGTGGAATTAAAAAAGGTGAGAAACTCTGGTGTAAAAGAATCTAATGTCATAATGAAGATATTGACGTTCCAAACTGCTTCAAACAAAAAGTTAGAAAAGAAAATAATGACAGGATCAAAAGATGACCGATTGTTAATAAATGCTTGTATACTATTTTTTCTGCTATAAGTAACATTTGTTTCAAATCAGATTAATTTAACTTAATATTTGCTAATTTTACTCAAATAATGTTTCATAAATATATGTCTTATTTTTGGAAGATTTTAAAAATCGATAATTTTGTTTTGTTTAAAAAAAAATGGCCTCTTTTAAGAAAATTTTCTTAAATCGGCCGAAAAGTTAAGATTCCAATCTATATAATTTTCATTTAAAATACACCGGAATATTTTACTTACTGGAAATAATAAATTTACTTATTTTGCTTTCAAATAAAGCTAAAATAAAATCTTCAAAAATGCTTTTTCATTTTTTTAAATTTATTTTAAACTTTAGTTATCGAAAATTCAGTAGATACTCCTATATTAATGCAAAGATTTTATAAATTTCCGCCGACAGTAACACATTACGATAACCACTTCCATTTTCTATTAGCATCTGATTTCTTTTTCTTTTCTCCGTTTTTAAATAGTTTCTATACCAAAAGTGTTGCTTCATATTTCAGTTCTGAGATTTGAGCCATCCGACATTGACATGTACCCAGACGTTGTTTATAGAATGGCCCTGGAGAAAGATTTTCTTGGAAAGTTACTCCTTTTTTTACACGAAGAAGAAGACAGAAAGCGTTGTTATCGACGAGAGAAAAGACAGAATTTTTTTTCTTGTGAAGCATGAAACGTATAATTGTAACAAAATGAAAATGGGGAAATATTAGAAGATTGACAAAACACAATCTTCTTCTTTCCCGACGAAATAAGTTTTTGGGGGGTTTTGTAGCTGTACAAAGATAGGTAAATACAGATAGCAACACAAACTAGAAACCAGAGAGAGAGAGAGAGAGGGATAGAATAATTGATTTGCGTGGGGGAAAGAAAAAAAGGGAAAAAAAGAAAAGAAAAAAAAAGAAAGGAATAAAGACTCGAAATGGAATGTAAGTGAGATCAGTAGAAAAAAGTAAGGAGCGGGAGTTGATGAATAAAGAAAACGGTGAAAGGTCATCAAAGAGAGAGAGAAAGAGTGAGAGAGAGAGAGAAAGAGAGTGAGAGTGAGAGAGAGAAAGTGAGAGTCAATAAATAAGAGACGGACAGGATAAGACTCGTCCAATGAGAGAGATGGAGTGAGAGAGAAAAACAT